CGCGCCCCGCCCGCCGCGCTCAGGGCCTCTTCTCCTCCTTAGACGTATTTCTTCTTCCCCCAGCAGCCTGCGGTGCCTCGTGGCTCCCACTCTGCCTTGAACCCCTAACAACACGTCACCCCGCTTCGGTTCCCGCTTTTGTAACGCCCTCGGGCTCGCTTTCAGCACTTGGCCCCTTTGGCCCCTTTGGCCCCTTTGTCCCCTTTGTCCCCTTTGGCCCCTTTGGCCCCTTTGGCCCCTTTGGCCCCTTTGGCCCACCTGCCTCCTGCCTCGTCCCCGACCTTCCTTTCCGTGCGCTTCTTGCACACGAGCTCTGCTTAAAGTGCGCTGTAGGAAATCACCGCGTACTTGCTCGTCTTTTGATTTATTTTGCAGCCCTCACCGTGACCGTGGCAGAGCTGTAGCGGTGTGTTTACAGGTGGAGGTGTTTGTGTGGTTTCCACCAGCTTCCACCCGGAGGGATTCACGAGTGAATCGCCAGCTCGGTTTATGATCCTCATTAGCAGGCGCTCTTAGGCGCTGTCAGTGCGTCCTCAGAAAGCCTTTAACAAGCCGGGGGTGGGGGGGCTCCAACTAGTTATTCCTTCTTGGCCNGTGGCTCCAACTAGTTATTCCTTCTTGGCTTATAGCATGTATGTGGGGGAAGTTTATGAGTCTTCCACTTAAATTCTAAGGAATAATATTTATTTTGTGTTTTCACATTCTATTTTAGCTTTTTATAGTATCCCATACGTTTTAATATACCGAATAAATGGTAAAGCTTAAAGGGAAACATTCGAACTTGCATGTTCGGTGATTCATCATCCACGCCTTAGCCTAGTTTAGATTATAATGCCGCGATGGTCACAGTGATTGCTGAGTGCCTATGATGCAATTAGCCTCAAACCCCCGAAGCCCTTGTGGACTTAAGGGCGGGAGTACAGGCCAGCTGTTCAGAATACCGTTTTTGATTCGTGTAAAGCCTTTTGTTAGCTGTGAGATTTTGAGCAACTTGCTTTACCCCTCTCTGTCTCATCTGTAATATGTGAATTATAATAATACCTATCTCACAGGAGAGTTGTGAGGGTCTACACGTAAACTACTTAGCATAATATTATCATTTATACTGTTACTAATACAAATAATAACTTCTGTGTTTTTATCTGCTAACTACAGCCCATTAAGTGATTTAATTAATTCAGACTTCATTGAACAAACATTCACTGAATGATTGCTGTGTAGGAAGCACTCTTTAACTATATGGGGCAAAAGAAGTGTCTGGGCTCATTATATATGTCTAAAGCATGAAAATCACTCTTTGCCAGTAACTAATGTGGGTAATAATGCCTACTCATTGGATAGTTATGAACATCAAATTTAATGGGGAGCTATGTTGAAGTTCTTAATATAATGTCTGATACAGAGTTGACTCAAAAAATGACAGACGTAGTAATACTAATAGCAACAATAATGAGAGAAGATGGTGAGAACATGACTGAGGACATACATGGTCGCCCTCCAGGTGAGACCAGAATGTGAGTACGTCATAGCTGGTCATGATGTGAAGTGTCACACACACAGCTGTGCGAAGATCGCAGCCGGACTGCAGGGAAGGAACGTGGAAGACTCTAGGCAAAGCAGGCCCCTGTCGGGGTGGAGAGGTGGCGCCCGGCAGGCGGACGGCAGCTTCTCCCACTGATGAGCTAGAGGGGAGAGCAGAAAAAGCAGCCGAGGAGGGGCCCGGTTGTGGGGGGCTCTGTGCTTTTGTACGGACTGTGGACTCAGATCCCTGGGGCCCAGGGGAATTACGTTAGAAGCAGGGAGGTCAGTGAGAAGACTCTAGCAACATCCATGGAGAGACTAGAGTCTGGACGAAGGCAGTGGAAGTGGAAATGGAAAGGAAGCTAAAGATGGAAACACATAAAATATTTGCGATGGGACAGCCACTAATTGAATATTGGAAGTCTGGGACGACTGCTCGGTCCATGGCCTGGTCTGGGTGGGGTGGGGGTGGGGAGATAAGGCCATTAGCCACCATGAGAAACAGGAACAGGTAGAGCTGTGCATTAGGAAGTCGGGTATATGAGGCGTATGGCTGAAATCAGGGAGAGGGACTCCGAGTAGAAGACCGGGAGTCATCAGGGTTGGGGTCTGCGATCAGGCAGGGAGAGGGGAGGAGGGGAGGGGAGGGAAGGAGGAGGGCCGAGCACAGAGCCCTGGGGTACAGGCTCGAGTAGCTGCAGGT